GAGAGACGAGAGAGGGAGTGAGAGAGAAGAGAGAAGAGGAGAGAAAGAGAGAAAGAGAGAAGAGAAAAAGAGAGAAGAAGAGAGAAGGAGAGAACAAGAGAACAAGAGAGAAGAAGAGAAGAGAAAAAAGAAGAAGAAGAACAAGAGGAGGAGAGAGAAAAAGAGAGAAGAGAGAAAAGAGGAGAAGAGAGAGGAGGTGCGAATGTATTCTAAGAGCGGCGAAGGGGGGGGGGGGGGGTTGAGTGACGAAAGTAATACAATCCTTTGGTATCGGGGGGGGGGGGGGGGGCTCTCGGCACGGGACTCAATCTCGGGTTCTGAGAAATATTGATATCACGCCATCGATAGATTTGATGGTATCGGGGAGGTATGGGGTATGGGGAATTGGTATGGGGTATCGGGGGTCGGTATGGCGGTATCGGGATTGGTGGCTATCGGGGATTGGTATGGCGGTTCGGGATTGGATGGACGGTATCGGGGTTGGTATGCGGTCGGGATTGGTATCGGGGATTGGTATGGGCGGTATCGAGGGATTGGTATGGGTATGGCGGTTTGGTATGGCGGTATCGGAGACTGGTATGACGATATCGGGACTGGTATGGCGGTATCGGGATTGGTATGGCGTATCGGGAATTGGTATGGTGGTATCGGGGACTGGTATGGCGGTATCGGGACGGGTATGACGGTATCGGGGATGGCGGTATCGGGAGGGTATCGGCGGTATCGGTATGGCGGTAACTGGTATGGCGGTATGGGAGTTTTGGTATGGGGTATCGGAGTTGGTATGGGGTATCGGGAATTGGTATGGGGTGGGGTTGGGTATGGATCGGGACTGGTATGGCGGTATCGGGAGTTGGTATGGCGGTATCGGGAGTTGGTATGGCGGTATCGGGGATTGGTATGGCGGTATCGGGATTGGGGGTATCGGGCGGTATCGGGGTTGGTAAATGGGTTTGGTATGGCGTATCGGGACTGGTATGGCGGTATGGGGTGGTATGGCGGTATCGTTGGTACTGGGGATTGGTATGGGGTATCGGGTGGTATGGCGGTATCGTGGATGGTATGGCGGTATCGGGACTGGTATGACGGTAATCGGGTTATGGTTCGGTATCGGGGACTGGTATGGCGGGATCGGGTGTTGTATG